TTCCTTACTTTTTGGCATTAATGGTTTCAATATTTCGGGAATAAGAACACCATCCTCAACTTGATAGTTTTCTAATATAGCGCAAATTGTTCGAGTTGTTGCACACATTGTTGCATTGAGCATATGAACGTAACCAGTCTGAAAATAAACATAATAATTTAAACATAAAAAATTATTATTAACAGATTCGACTTACAGCTTCATTTAATTTTTTTGTTTGACCATAACGTATTTTTAATCGTCTTGATTGGTAATCAAGACAATTTGAACAAGAAACAAGTTCACGAAATTTTCCTGAGCCAGGAAACCACGCTTCTAGGTCATATTTTTTCGCTGCAGCGTTATTCAGTTCTCCTGAAACAATGTTTACAATTCGGTATGGTATGCCTAATGCTTTATTAAATTCTTCAGCATTTGCAATCATCTCTTCAAACATTAGCCAAGATTTATTATCTTCTGGTGATGTGATACAAAACTGTTCAACCTAAAGAAAGATACAATGGTTCGACTATTGCGTGAAAAACTAGAATATACGAACTTTTTCAAATTGATGTACACGAAAGATGCCTCGTGTATCGCGTCCATGTGAACCGGCTTCTTGTCGAAAACAAGTAGATATGCCACCATACTTTAGTGGTAATTTATCTACAGGGATCCATTCTTCTCGATGATAAGCAGCAATTGCTTGTTCTGATGTTGCAATCAAATATTTTTCTTCGTCACTTGGCTCATCTGGTTTATCATTCTTACACACCACCTAAATCACAAAAAATGCATGTTTAAAAAAGATCATGACAAAATTTGTTCAAGTACTTTCATAAAGGAACACAACGAAGAATGGTTCAAATTAAAAATAGTAGGGAAGATAACTTCAGACTGCGTTACATACTTTGTATAGTTCGTCATCAAATTGGCTTAATTGGGCTACTTCCTGCATTATTTCTTTCCTCATGAAGAATGGCGTATATAATACTTCGAAATCTTTTTCTGCCAAAATTCTCAATGCCAACTGAATAATGGCCTGTTCTAAGAAAACAGCGGCTCCCTAAAAATGCCAAATGCAAACGATAAATAAGCAAGTCTTTTTCACAAAGTAATATAACCCACTTTCATAAAATATCCTCGTGAGCCAGCAACAATTGCACCACGTTCGCCATCATAACTATCAATCATGTACATTAAATCAAAATGAGAATATTTCTTGCGAGTTTCAACATCACCAAATGTACGTTCTGTTACGTTGTTATCCTGTAATTAATAAATTAATTAAATGATAAAAAATGTACATATCGATTGATTTTGCATTTTTACCTCATTATCACTAATGGGAACAGATTCGTGAACAATATTTCCTATTTCGTGTAGAGTATCATTTCTTTCTTGCTCAACTTTATTACAATGTTTTTCTACTGTTTCAAGTTCACCATCGATCATGAAACTGACTTTTTTTAATTGTAGAATGTTGAGTTGTGCCAGAGATTCTTCACTTAACTTTGATAAACTCAAATGAAAATTAGCATCTAACTGATCCGTTGTACCGTCCGATTCTTTGGCCTTTTTTTTAGCACCAATAATTTTACCACACAGGTTTTTAAATTTAAGCCATTGATCCATTTCAAAGCGAATTTTTCTCCATTCTCCATCTTTTCCAATGACTTGGTCGACCAGTTCAACTTTTTTATAACGTTTTTTCTGAGAATCACGAACGACTTGTGGGTCATGACCTTTTTCAGAGCGAAATAAATCGATGTCAAGCACCATCTTTTTGACAGTTGTTGCTTAAGTTGTTCAAATGATCTTAAAAAATATGTATGAAAACTTCAACAGAGATATATATTAATACCTTTTTCATGCTTTCAATTCATTGCATCACTCTTTAAAACGTCAAAAACATATTAAACCTCTTTCGTCATTTCGTTAGAAAAAAATATGACTGTTTGAAAACAAGTGAGCATCATCGTCATCGCATTTTCAGTTATTAACATCTATCTAACTCAGAACAGAATATTTGCATTGATGTACTACATATTTCTGCTTATTTATTATTGTTATTATTACTTTTTTTACGTTTCGTAATGCAGTCGTTCGCTATTGGTTAGATTGCTGAACGAAGTTTTCTTCCAGCTTA